TCCCCCCACACTCCCACCCTTCTACCCTGAACCCCCCACATCCCCACTGCCCTCTGCCCTGACCTCTGAACCCCCACATACACAGCCAGGGGTCCCAGCTGCCGGCCCCTTGCCAGCCAGCGTCCTGGCCACAGGCCCTGCTCAGCCCGCTGCAGGCCTAGGTGAACAGAACCCCAGGCTGGAAGCAGGTTGAGCAGGCTGGTGGCGTAAGATCAGCATTTTAATTTAATTTTAAATGAAGCTTCTTAAACATTTTGAAAAGCTTGTTTAGTTTACATACAACAATAGTTTAGCTATATAATATAGACTTAGAGAGAGACACCTTCTAAAAAACGTTAACATGTATTACCGGCACACGAAACCTTAATTTAAAGTGAATAAATGAAGACTCGGCACACCACTTGTGAAAGGTTGCCTACCCCTGCACTAGTTGAAAATTCCTCTCCACCAGAAACTGTACAACAATCAGAATAGCTCCTTTAGTCAAAGTTGGGGCCAGACTTCTCTGTGTCCTGTGCCTCTCGTGCTTGAGGAAGTCTTCCTGATGCGTTAATTGACCTCTGGCCTACTCTTTCCTCTCACTGAATACTTTTGAAGTGGGGAAAGCTGGGGTCCGTAGGGCACAACTTCAGGTCTCCGTGGCAAAGACCGGGAACTTCAACCCAGTTCTGACAAATGAGACCAACTTCTTTGATTACAGTAGTAATCCATAATGTGGGCATTTGCTACTCCTATAATCTCTGCTAGTTACCTGACCAAAAAGGGAGCTGTTCTGCTACTTGTCTCAGTAAGAGCAGACTGAATTCATGGTTAGGAATTACAGATCTATTATATGAAATAGCATGTGGGTTTTTTCCAGCACAGTTCCTGTAGATTTCAGTGGAAGTAACATTCAAACCCATTGTGTAAGTGCTTTGAAAAAATATGGACAAATGTAATCTCTATATTAACCATGATTGTCTATGTGCCCTAGAAAATATTATAGTCACAATAATATGCTAGAATAAAAAAAATGGTCACCGACTGGCTCAACAACGGAGGTCGCCACATCAAAGAGAATCAACGGCTCTGAGTTGCTTGGATCTTCACGGACAGTTTCAAGCTGATGTTTTTACAAAGGCGAGGAGGAAAAGAAAAAAATCTATTTTTATTAACAGTTCAATAGCTTCAGTTTTCACCATCATCAAAATCTACCATGAATTTCAGATTCACGTTGGGGTGCTAGAGACAAATGTTTTGAGAGCCTAAATATCCAACCATAGTGGCCTAGCTGCAATGTACCAGAGGCCCAGACTGGCTTTTCCCCCACTTTCTGAGTCAAGGAATCATAAAGATCAGAGGAAGAGGCTAAGGGCCTGAAGCAATGCCCATTGAACTGAATGGAAACACTTCCGTTGATTTCAATGGACTTTGGGTCAGGTGCTGTTTCAAGGAGGGGCTTAAAGCGACTGCTGGCAGTTTCATTGACCTCATGAGAAATCATCTGTCTTGTCTCCCAAGCTATTTGTTGCAAGGAAGTATGCACTGGTGTGTGTGGAGGAGAGGGGGCAGAAAGGAAGAAAGTATGCAAGAGGAAAACATAGGAGACCAGAATGAAAGTGCCGAGGGTCTCAGAATACCAAGGAGAGAGAAAATATGGGCAGATAGTACTTCTTAATGTTAAAAACGAAAATGAATTGCTCCTTTACAAAACATACCAGAACTGTTAACTGATATTTCAAGATTATTAAAAACCTCTGCTTTTGAAAAAGCCTATTATCCACATGACCCATCTCCTATCATAACCCTCTTCATACATAAATCCAAAAAATCATTTCTGTTGTACTGTATTTCAGCAATTACAAATAAGGATGCTCTTTAAACTACCTGAATTTATGATGGATGGAAAGGGAAGAAGACCGGAAGAAAACATATAATTGATTGCATTGGTAATAAAATATGTTCAGTCGCTTGTGATCACATGTATGAACTGTATTTCCTGAATAGCCGAGCCACAAATTAAATTATGAAAGCGAATCACTGCACTCCCCAGAGACAAAGATGAATTACTCCCTTTCTGAATCATATTTACACAGTGTATTATTTTTCAAAATAAAAATATCAGTTAGGAAAAAATCCGAACACTTCAGTCAAAATAATTTCGGGTCGGTTTTGAAGCAAGGTTTTATAAGTCATTAATCATGGATAATTGGGCACATCTAAGCCCAGAGAGCTCTGGCTGCTACAGCTCAGCACAAATACTGTGAGTCCCAGATTGGGAGGAGAAGATATAGACAAGAAGAAAAGAGCTGAGCCTGCTGATTGTCAAATGGTCTAATCAACTGCACTACGGTCAGGTGACACTATCCTATCTCAGCCAATGGCTAGACCTCCATAAATTCAATTTTTTTTTAATGAACAAGTTAATAGAAAAAAAGTGTTTCTTGGCACATTTCTAGGGAGCATTGGACACCCTCACACCAGACACCAGAGGAGTGAGGAAGAGAGAAACAGAATACCCAGCTCCTTGTGAATGTGGGCCCTAACTACCAAAGAAACAGCTCATAGGTTGGGAGAGTGGAGTTATTTGATGGTTGTGAGGAGCAGGATGTTTTACAGGGCAAGACAGAGCCTGGTGAGTCACAGGCAGGGGTGCTCAAAAGCTTAACTTGAAAATTAAATTAAAAATTAATTTACAATATGGCAGTTTGAAAGTCTTCTGCTGTGTCCCCCAACTGCTAACAATTGCCCAGTGGAGGATTTCATCTCACCACCAGATAACAGATAATTTATTACTACTATTCTACTCCTAGTATTACTGCTGTGATGCTGGCAGACCCAGTCAGATCAGGGCCCCAGGCCAATAGACTTGTGTATTAGTATAGATCAAAATGAGTGTAAATGTAAGAGTATATTCAGGTGTTTGAACTTCATGAAAATTAGTGGAATGTTACTTGTATTATTTTCATTCATTTGTTCCTGTTATAATGCAATAGCAAACATTTACATTGTGTACACCCTTGTAACTAAATAGCCCAACAAAGAAATCTTGTGAAATGCCAATGAAGGACTTAAACAGAAAATGTTAATTTCAAAGCAAGTGGCCATTATGTATGATGGTTCCTCACTCCCTGTCATCAAAAGAAAAGCCCATGTGTGTAGAGACACTGTTAGCTTGCTTTCAGAGTGAAGAAACTACAAATATGGACTCATGGAAAGATCCTTCATCTCTGGACTGGTTGGACTTTTACAGGGAAGTGGACCAGATGCAAAGCAGAGATCTCCAGAGACAATCTGGATACCCTGAAAAGACTTTTGGGAGTCTGGCAGTTTATTATATCACTGCCACCATTTGGAATTACAAACAGTGACTCACCGGTTATATTTTACCTGCTTTTACCTCTCAATAACTCATTTCCTTTTCTTAGCTAATAAACCTACAGTTAGTTTACTATAGAATTGGCTGCCAGCATTGTATTTGGTGTAAGCTCTGGAGTACCAATTGATCTGGGGTAAGTGGCTGATCACTTGGGATTGAGAGCAACCTGATATGGTGTGATTTTTGGTTTAAGTGACCATTTTATCACAAAGTCCAGTCTATGACTACATGGTAAAGTGGTATAGTGATTCAGGAGTTCACATTTGTTACTGGCTTGGTGAAATCTAGTTATAGAACGTACCACCAGCTTAGAGTATCTGCCCTGTTTTCTGGCAGTCTGCCCTGAGGTAGGCACTCAGGGTTGTGAGCCACTGCAGACAATGTGACAACTACTACTGCTTTTACTATAGTAGGAATTACTAAAGACATGCTATTTCATTGTACAGCAAATCTACTCCTTATAGGTTTATTCCTTTACTGTGTAAACATTCAAATCCACAAACATAAATGTCACTTTCTGTGCATCAGGTTAATTGGCTTATGGAATTTTATTGGGTCGGGTTATTAGGATAATATTTTTAATATTAGGAAATTTAAGAAGAATGTGAAAGGAGAAACCCTGAGCTTTCTGAAGTATAAAATGAATTTCTGTTTATGTCCCAGCATTTACACTAGCAAGGAGCAAATTTCATCACCACTTCTCAGAAATAGAAGTTGCTTTGGACATCTGGGTAATAATTTGTGAAGCTAATAACTTAAAAAATAATAATAATCTCACAGAAACGAAGGTGGATCCTGAAATCAAAGAGTTATATGAGCTAGAGCTTTTTTTTTTTTTTTTTTTTTTTTTGAGAGAGAGAGAGAGAGAGAGAGATAAAATGTGGCAGCTGGAAGTTATGGGGACACACGGGGACCTGCTCACCGACAAAACTGGTTCATCAGAACGGCCCAATCGTCAGTCTAGTCTGGTAGCCTGCCTTCTACTGCAACCAGCATCACAGTAATACATAATATGCATAATTGTGCAATGCTCTGTTGTGAAAGGAAGCTTCTCCTGACCCCAGCTGCTGATTAGCTTTATACCCTGAAGCATAAGGGCTGATAACCTTCTTCTTGTTATTCTAGCTGGTTTAATTGCAGTATTGCCCTTCAGATACATCTAATCTTTTCTTTTTATGTGGACACTTACTAAGCTATTTGCCTCAGTAAATGAATGCAGCAAGTTCCACATGATCCTGGATGATAAAAGTACTGTAGAGTAAGGGCTCATCCAAAGTTCACTGAAGTCAGTGGAAAGACTCCCATTGACTTCAGTGGGACTGGATGAAGCATTACACCCTCCCTGACATATAATAGGCCTACTTAGGGTGACCAGATGTCCAGTTTTTAAAGGGACAGTCCTGGTTTTTGGGACTTTTTCTTATATAGGCGCCTATTACCCCCTACCCCCTGTCCTGTTTTTTCACAATTGCTATCTGGTCACCCTAGGCCTACTGTAACTAGAAGCGCCCAGTATGCTCTGTATAAAGTGTGTGCATATTAAATACAGTCCAAACTTACAATAAAAGAAACCGCAGAAAGGGGGTAAGTTAACCATAAAGGCGCACACACCTCTGGCTAAACTTTTTCCTCAAGTTTGGCTGTTGCTAAGGTTTTTCCCTTCATGACCTCCCTTGTCCCAGCCTCTACTTCCCTCTGCCTTGGAGTAAGACACTCAAATCCCTCTTATATCCTGTCTGGAGTTAAAGAGATCCATCTGCTAGCAGAAGCCACAGTAGTTACATCTTTATATAGGGTTCTAGCACCTGAGTTTAGGGGGATTTAGCATAATTCAGCATTCCTGTGCAGTGCCTTAGAAAGTGACACCCTGTCTCTCACAGATATTATATACATTGAAAAAATATATTTGCAAGATCATTTGCATCTTCAAAAAGCACTATACAAACATTAATCCTCAACAACCCTGTGTGGCAGGGAAGCAGTAGTATCCTCAGATTATAAATACGGAGACTAAGGGCACGTCTACACTGGCAGAGTTACAGCGCTGGCAGTTACAGCGCCGCTCAGAGAGCACCGAAGGGAAAACGGCTGTTGTGTGTTCACACTGTCAGCTGACTGCACAATAGCGTGTACACACTTCCGGCACTTGCAGCGGTATTTGGAGCAGTGCACTCTGGGCAGCTATCCCACAGAGCGTATCTTCCTCGTCTCCCACTAAGAGTTGTGGGAAGGTGGAGGGGGTTGCGGGGCATCCTGGGTCCTGTCCCTATGCCCTGTGATGCATTGCTTTGCATCCCAGCAATCCCTGTGCTTCTGTCCGCATTTGGCGCCATCTGCACACTCTGCCTCTTCGGTTTGCAGGAATGGATCCTGCACTGTTGACCAATACGCTGCTCGCTCTCACTAACATGTCACGAGTGGCAGTGGAGTTATTCCTTAAACTACAAAGGCAAGAGGAGTGCAACATCGATCTTGCCATGAATAGTAGCTACCACACGAGATTGCTTGTGGCATTCACGGAGATGCTGATCACAGTGGAACGCCGCTTTTGGGGTGGGGAAACAAGCACTGAGTGGTGGGATCTCATCGTCATGCACGTCTGGGATGATGAGCAGTGGCTGCAGAACTTTCGGATGAAGAAAGCCACATTCATGGGACTGTGTGATCAGCTCGCCCCACCGTGCGGCGCAAGGGCACAAGAATGAGAGTTGCCCTGACGGTGGAGAAGTGCGTGGCGATTGCAC